AAATTAACGTCATATTTGCAAAATAAAGTCGATCACACATGAATAATTCAAAATTAGTAAAAAAGATATTATGATACAAATAATCGACGCATACCTTGAACTGAAAATTGTATAAATTTATTCAAAAGAAGTATAATTATAAGTACAAAAAAATCACCTTACTTTTATTTAATCTTATTGATTGAGTTTCATTTAATATTATTGTTTTTAAATCTAATTTATTTTCTTCTAAGAAACTATTAAAATATTTCAAACTATATAAACTCATTAGCTGTAAGTAATGTAAAAATAATCAATAATGTTTATTTATTTTTTATCTATCATATTTTAACATCTTCCTTGAATTATTATTAATTATTTTTATATTTTTACATTGACGAAGACTTTGTATAGTTCAAAATTTTCATAATTAATCGAAAGAGAATAAATTTTATTTATTAGATTATAAACATTCTTTCCTACTCGTTTACTGACCCACATATTTTTAAAACTATAATAAGATTTATATACATATATAATAACATTTACATTTAAATATATAAAATTATATATTATTAATATTTATAACGAAAGAGAATGTGTTTCATTTTTTTAGATGTACTTTAAGATAAAAGTTGCATATTCTAATTGTTTATTACACCTTTTAAATTTTCTACATTTTTCTTGTATAAAGGCGTGTCAAGGATATCAGCGATAGCCATAGATTGGATCACAGAAAATCTATATTTTACGGACAAGATTAATCATCGTATCGGAGTTTGCAAAATCATCAGAAAATACACAAATTGTACTGTATTAATTGATAATATTGATCAACCAATGGGAATTGCTTTATTACCAACTCGTGGGTAAATATTACACTTTTTGTAAAAGTTATTCTTAAATTTTATTATTTCTTGATAACCTAAATGATCTTATAAGAAACATTATTATAACAAACAGAGAAAAGAAGAGAAAAAAGAAGAGATTCTTATTAATTAATTTACTTTTTAATTATTTTTTTAATGATCTAATGATCAAATAAAAACATCAGAAAAAGAAAGAAAGTAAAAAAATTCTTATTAATTGATTTATCTGGATCTTATCTTTATTTTATTACAAATAGGATTTAATGAACACTATTATTTTATAAAATATACTGATAAGATAATTATTATTTTCAATATTGAAATCAAATATTAAACTTTTTCAATTATAGAAGATAGAATTATAACAACATAAATAGAAACTTAAATAGAAACATATTAAGCATATGTTACATTTATAGGAAAATGTATTGGTGTGATTGGAGTTCTAATCCACATATAGCAGTGGCGGGAATGGACGGCAAAAACATCCGTATATTTGTCTCTGAAAATATAAAAGCGCCGAGAAGCCTAACTATTGATTATCAAACTAATCGATTATATTGGGTGGATTTCAAATTAAGAAAAATCGAATCAATACGTTTAGACGGAACTGATCGAAGAGTCAATATTTGTTCTTTTTTAATTATAAAATATTACACTGAGATTCTACGAAATACATTTATATAATTTAATTATTTACAGCTTGTACTACATAATATAACATACAACCCATTCTCACTGGCAGTCTTCGAAAATAAATTGTATTGGACCGACATGAAATCCAATGCGATACAGTCATGCAATAAATTTACTGGAAAGGATCGGAATGTCTTATTTCGAAGTTTACATCATCCTTATAATTTGCACATCGAACATGCAGCACTGAAGCCTAAAGTACGCATAACATCATGATGTTATTTTTCCATTATAAAAAATAGATCGCAAAAAGTTTGCATTATCTTTCAATCAAATTTCAGATTAACAATCCATGTCTTTCCAATCCGTGTTCCGAATTATGCATGCTAAATCAGGAGAATGGATACACATGCGCTTGTACTTTGGATAAGAAATTAAACGTCGACAATCATACCTGTCAAGGTTTAAATTCGTTAAAAATTTAAATAGAACATATTAACAAATTTATAGGACATATTAACATATTCTGCATATCAAAATTGAGATGATAATAATAATGAATAATGCTGTCACATATCTTATAAGCATTCTTGAGTAAGCATGAGAGTATATATAATTTCAGAGATGAGAAAGAAGCAACATTTGCTGATAACTAATGGATACAAATTTGTAGACTATTATGACGGAATGATAGGAAAGCCGAAAGTGGAATATGCAATATCATTTATACGCTTTGGATATTTAATAGACATGGCAGCTGATCCGATTACTGGTATATATATATATATATATATATATATATATATATGTTCATT